AAGGTTGAGAAACACTGTGTTAGAGCCACTCCAAAAAGGCATAGCTCAAAACTGGATCCTACCTCTTCCTAGAGACTCCCCGATGACCGCATTTCTGCTTCTGCACAGTGTCCAAAACCTTACTGTGCACCGGCTGTTCACACAATACATTTAACGAGATCAATTAAAGTCAAAGCACTACGGACTCAGCTCGGCTTGAATGAATATTGGATAGCTTTAGGGTGCTCAGCAAACCCAGCCCTTTTGGCTGGTTTGCTTCCAGCGTATCGTCAGAATCCAGAAAACGGATTAATCCTGTAAAGCGTGTTGTGTGAAAACAGCAACGCGTCCCGTGTTTCTTTTGGAAAAGGGTGTTCCGCTACCGAGGTTCCTGGGTTTTCCCTTCAAGCAGGAAAAAGTCCGGCTAAGTCTTTGCAATAAGAACCTTGCCAGGAGCCACATACATTTAAAGTTTTTAGGGCTTTAATGGTTTAATGGTTGTTATCGTTTGATGATTTATGTATATCTGTTTCGTTTGTTTGTTTTTAACTGGGTGAGCCTCACGGAGTTGTGCATGATGAGCAGCTATACAAACTGAATGAATGAATGAATGAATGAATGAATGAATGAATGAATGAATGAATAACCTCTGCTAGTAAACAAGTCCCATTTTCAACATGCACATGAATGCCTTACAGCAGTGTTTTTCAAGCTTGGCCGCTTTAAGATGGGTGGACTTCAACTCCCAGAATTCCCCAGCCAGCCCTAACCCTGCTGGCTGGGGAATTCTGGGAGCTGAAGTCCACCCATCTTAAAGCAGCCAAGCTTGAAAAACACTGCCTTACAGTGTCCAGCCAACAATGCAATTCTCAGAGTCAGGAGGGTGCCAAGATTTGGCGGACTGGGGTACAAAAACTCAACAGAAAAAACTCACAGGGTGTCCCTCCCTTAATTTACGTGGGGCACAAATCCCAGGGAAGGGCTTGAACTCCACGCATTTCCGTAGACAAAAAACCCTTCCTACAGTTTGTCAGATTCTTTAAAAAGAGAAGAAAGGCAAGTCAGCACCGGCCCATTTCTCATTTCACCTCTTTTGCTCCATGATCGCGTTTCAACTCTGTCCTGCTAACTTTGCCACCTGCCTGGGTTTCCCATGGCTGCCCCTGTGACTTACCTGTTGAATTAAATCTCCCAGGGCAAAGATCCGACTCTCGTACTTGTAATAATTATATTAACTCAGCCCAAACCCAACTCCTGCTAGAAATGGTGTTCCCCCTTTTCTCTTTCAGGATATAAACACATCTTGGCTCCTAAAAGCTGGTAAGGTTGCACCAGACTTTATCTCCTCCTAAATGCTTAGAAGAAAAGCATTTTCTTGAGCAATTGTTCAGAGCAACAACAAGCCCACCCACACGGCTGGGACCCAGATGGAAAAGATTTTCCTTTTGGGAAGGCTGGCCAAGCGAGAGATTTGTTTTTTTAGTGCAACGTGAAACCAAGCCATTTTAAAACACCCTTTTGCTTACGGTATATCGCTTTCAGCAGAAGCATGGATTTGGGTTCTGGTTTTTAGAAAAGGGTTTTTCTCTTTGCTCCTCTTTCGAAGTTGAAGCTGCCCCCAACCGAGGCTCTAAAGAGGGAAAAAAGCAAAGTATGCAATGCATTTTACATTTGCCACCTGACAGCCAGGAGCACTTCCGGGGGAAAGATGGTCTGTGTTGAAGGTTTGTCCTGGGAGAAATGGATTCCATTCTGCCCCCAGCCCTGGAACACGGCCCCCGTCCAAGCAATCAACAAATGCCACTGGCTCAAGGATGGAGGGTGGATTTCATGAGGCAAGCTAATCATGGATTTAAATGGGCTTTTGAATATCCAGGGTGGAATGGAGAACCAGTGTGTGTTCATCCAAGAACATTCCAGGAATTTTGTGCGGTGGAATCAAGGAGCAGCATTTGCTCTACTCCGGCACATAAGTCTTCCTCTACTTGGTATCTTCCTGTAAGGGCTGGTAGGGTGGGGACCAGGGATTCCCAGGCCAGACAGAATTGTAAGCTAAACTTTGAGCAAAAGTCTCCCAATCTCAAGGCCAGGAAGAGGACAGCCAAATTTCTGTTGACTCAAAAAGAGAGGAGGAAAAGACCTAGGATTTAAACCCTGAAGTGGGCATAGAGAAAGAGCTTAATTATTATGTTCTAGACAAGGCAGATCTTCTATGCAGATTGTTTCCCTTCATAACTTCAATAAAGCAACTAAGATAGCTGTGTTGTGTCCATGAGCTTCTACTGTAAGCCAGTTCTTGAATTTGGGGTGATGGATCTGGAGAGTCAAGATTTATTGCCTTGCTTGGTGTAAATCAGACACCTCTGGAAATGCTGGGACTACCATTCCCAGAATTCCCAGCCAGCTGAGGCCAAGGCAGTGCCAGATCAAGAAATATGTTCAATTCCCATGGCTGAAGCCTCCTTTCTCCCTCTTGGCAGGTTGTAGCAGTGGTCATGGACATGTTCACAGACGTCGACATCTTCAAGGACCTCCTGGATGCAGGCTTCAAGCGGAAAGTGGCCATCTACATCATCATAGATGAATCCAACCTGAAATATTTCCTCCAGATGTGCGAGCGAGCCCAGATGCACACCGGCCACCTGAAGGTAAAACAGAACCAAGTCCAGCAAGTGGTCCAGTTGGAACGTGGTCAACAAAAGGGACGAGGGAAAAGATCCCTGGGGCGCCTAGCAAGCATCCTTTTGTAGCCTGGTTTGATGTCTTTATTGGGCAAGTCAGGGTATAATAAGCCTCCCATTTTGCATTAACTGCAACTTTCCCAAATTCCTTTAGGCCTTGGCTTAAGAGATGGCAGCACTCGCCAGCCAATCATATCCATGTGGAGGACCCAGGGCTTGTGTGGAGAATTCCAACCACACCAGTTGGCCATGATCTCTTACAAGCACATTGCATGTTTCCTCCCAAACATTCTTTCAGCAGCTCTGAGAGACAGGCCAAAGGGGCCGAGGAAAACAGCAGATTCCAGTTTCTAGGAAAACCAGATCCTAGCCCTCATTAGTGGAAAGATAGCCTCAAGAGTCCGTGATGAACGCCTAGGAAGCTTTTTTCCCCATCAAGTCAACCTCTGACAGCTGAACAGGGACAACTCCCTGTAGTTTTCTTGGCCACCTTTTCAGAAGCGGCTTTGCCAGGACCTTCTTCTGAAGGTGGAGAAAGAAGGACTGGCCCAAAGTCACCCAGTTGGCTTCCTGCCTAAGGCAGGACTAGAATTCACGGTCTCTCAGCTTCTAATCCGAGGCCTTAACCTGCAGACCAGAACAGGGAAAGGGGTGGCTCAAATCAACTTCCCACGCCAAGAACCAGTGATTGGAGCTGAACAGCTGGTTTTGTCTGATGACTGGCAAATCTGTATTTTGCAGGGGCTGACCAGGAGGGCAGGATGTTACAAAAGCTGAGAAAAAATAGCACCCATCTTGCATTATTTGCAGGGGCCGAAGCAAGAGTTGGCTGGTTGTTTCAAACAGGGAGCCCACCACAGCCACATCCTAAGCATTACGATCCCCATTTTGCAAATGAGGCAAACTGGGGCTGAGGGAAAGAAGGGCGGATGTAAGGCCATTGATGAGCTTTGAGCGATGGGAGGTTTCCAAAGTGCTTGTGCTACGTCGGAAAGCTGCTGGCAGTGGGACCAGATTCGCAGTAGCACATGACCGTCTTCACATTAGCGCAGGCGTGGGATCCTGAAGCACTGTTGATGGGACGTGGGGCTGACGATGAGTCAGCTCCACACCCTTTGCCCTCTTTCTAGTCACACGCACTGTATATATTCCATGGGCCAAAGGTAAGGCTCCCCCGGTCTCAGTTGGAAGCACAGAACTGCAGTTTACTCACCAGGAGATTGTAAAAATGAAACCTCCCGTGGCCTGAATTGCCCCGTAGGAAGGCATCATCTTGGTTGTCATTCCAGCCCGGCTATTTTCTTTTATAACTCAGTTCAACGCAGCTCCACCTTTGGCACATAATGCCAGAGAAAGGCCTGGCGGTGAAAGGGAGTCGGTATTTACCATTTCCAAAGCTCGTCAGCTGCTCCAATCAAAGTCAATGCGCTGTATCCAACGTTTGCTCTTGCGGGCTCCAGAAGGACCCCAGGAAGCTGGATCCCTCGGCGGTCTGGACGGAGCCGTGCCAGCGGGGCCAATGACCCCGAGAAGGCTGAGATGTGCAAGGCGAGGGCAGACAGCTGGGCTGGATGTCCTCAAGGATGCCCCCCACTTCCAGGTCCTAAGACTCCAGGGCTCCCCTTGAGGGGACGGCAGCTCCGTTCCCACCGGTCTTGGCGCCCGTTTGAGGACACCTGGGCCGCAGCGCCATCACACCTGGCAAGAGTCAACACGCAGGTGCAAGGGGTCAGTGACAAGGCTTCCTAGGAAATGGCTTTGGCTCTCCAAGCACATGTTTGCCCAGTGACTCAGCCCTTGGCCCAGGCCGAGATGCTGTTCTTCTTCCCTGCCAACGATCCGTCTTGGGTGTTTGCTCCCGTTTTTGTTCCCCAGCCGGCTCAATAAACAAATTGCTCTTACTTAAGACAGCTGCCTCAACCACATTTTTTCCTTTCTTGTCGTCAATTCAGGATACTTATTTTCAACGGACCATGCTTGCTTGCTTTATTTAGTGGTTATGCTGGCAGGGACGGGGAAAACATCACACCTTGTTATTTATTAACTTCAGAACTAAACAAGGTTTTCAGCAATAAAATAAGGAAGGGCCCAAGGAATGAAAAACAATGCTTTTGGAACAAGAGCAATTAAGAATTAATTGAGACTTTGGCCTCCACCTTCTTCCTGGAGATTTCCCCTCGGAGAGCCTCAACTTCCCTTTCACCCAAAGTTTTAAAGTTCTCAAGAACTGTGAAAGTTCTCCAGAATTGTAAAAGCCGCCTTCCTGATCTGGTGCCGTGGCATGTTTACTTTACTCACCACCTTCCTCAAACTCAGGACATCCAGAATGAACTGCTGTGAGTCCATTTTGAATCTAGAACCTAGAAATCTATCTAGCAACACCAAAGACAAGAAGGATGGGAAAATCCAGCGTTGGGCTTTCTTTCGATTTCCCGAGAACTAAGCCCGTAGCCTTTGGCAAGTCGCTCAGCTCCTGTTCCAGCAGCCGTTGCTTCGGTTGACCTGCTCCTTAAAACCTGCCCTTTGTTTGCGCGGTTTGACCTGTTTTTACAAGGGCACTTTCATATTTCTTTGTTCATGCTTTCCACTTATCTTTTCTTGTTCCTTTAAAACATTTCTATCCCCGCTTTTCCTCCATAAGGCACCCAAAAAAGACATCTTGCTGATGTTTAAAAGCGCGCACTCACCATCAGATAGCTAGACCAGCGCCGTAGAGGCGCACAGGTGGGAACCTCAAGTTCTGCGGAAGAACCAAACCATTCTTCTTCTAAATTCTTAGGGGAACAAAAGTGCTCAGACTAATGAATCCAGACTAACTAGGGTGTGGACTGAAAAAACAGAGAATGGAACAACGTCTTCTGAATAAAAGCGTGGCTATGTAGAACAATGCCCAGAATTGTTCCCCAGCGCAACCTTTTGCTGCAGTTTCAGTTCTATAAAATAAAGCTCAACATTTAACAACTAAATGTATGCATGCTACACGCATACACGCACCGAGACACACACGCATTAATATGTCCTGTGTGGTGTAAGCTAGTCCACCAGGGAAATAGGTTTAGCACAGCACTTTCTCAATACGTAGGATGCTATATTACAGGGAGCGCATAATACATCTTTGCATGTTGCAATTCTGCAATTTTCTTGTTTTCACACTCCACATCTTCCCACTTCCTTACGCCAATAATGAGTGCTTCAGACAAGGCCAGCTACAGCTGCCTTTACTCCAGCCCCGCCCTTCCTCAAAGCCAACAGGTAATCCAAATTAAACAATCCAAATTATTTGGGCTTTGCAAACCTGAAAAGAGGCTTCAGCAAAGCTACCCAGCTATGTGGCCTGCTTTTTGCAGCAAGCAGAATTGGGTCTCGTGTTGAGCAAGCCAACCTTTTCTTCTGCCCTTTGATTGCATGCCTTGATCTGCCACGCCACACCAGCTCCTAGCCCCACCCTCCACCCATCTAGGTCTGCAATCACAAAACCAGGTCAGAGACGCAGGAAATTTAAAAAAAAAAAGCCCCTTAAATGCAGACTGGCTGATAGCAATCTTTGGTCAGCTGTTTTTCAGGCTCAGTGCTCTACTTTGTGTCTGCAGAATCTCCGTGTTTGCACCATTGGAGGGACCGAGTTTTTCACCCGCTCAGCCATGAAGTTCAAGGGTGCCTTGGCTCAGAAGTTCATGTTTGTGGACGGGGACAAAGCCATGTGTGGCTCTTACAGGTATGTGCCCTTCCTTGGGGACCCTGGAGAATGCACTGATTTGCCCCCCCCGCCGCCACCGCCCCAACTTGCTCTGCATGGCTGTTATGGGCAGGAAGCGTGCCGTTGGAAAACAAAGAGGGAGGGGGGACATAGAAGACCCCATATGGGAGAACCTACAGCCAAAGAGAGACTTCCATTCTCCTGGGAGAAATCAGGCAGACAACACTGTTTGGGGGGTTTCTACAGCCAATGCATTAATTCCCACCTTCTTCTCAAGCATGACCAGCCACCACAATGAAGCAGCAGCAACATTTAAATTTTGCACAAAAAGTGGCCTAGAGATACTATTAGATGTGCTCTGAACACAAAGATTTGGCTATAAAAATACGCCCTCGCGCTGTCTAGCACAGTGTTTCTCAACCTTGGCCACTTTAAGATGAATGGACTTCAACTCCCAGAATTCCCCATATCTTAAAGTGGCCAAGGTTGAGAAACACTGGTCTAGCAGGTTTAAATAGTGTTCCTCCTTAGCCAGTTTTCTTCTTTCTTTCGTTTAAGTTCTGAGAGATTGTCAGCCCCC